GGTGTGGTGGCATACACCTTCTAGATCTCTGAATTTGAGGCCAGTCTTGTCTACAGATCGAGTTTCAGGATAGACAAGCTACATAGGGAAACCGTGTCTTGAAAATCCTCCCCCCCCCAAAAAAAAAGAAAGGAAGGAAGGAAAAGAAAGAAAGATATAAAGAAAGAGGGAAAGAAAAAAGATTTAGATATATATCTCTATTCAAAATGGCATGAAGCCTTGTCAAGGTTTTATGTCACTTGAGCACTGTTGAGAGAACTGGAGGGAGGCAAAGATGGCCCCGTAGCCCTTGAATGAATGGTTGCATACAAAGCATGGATGTCAGAGTGGTACTGCTAGATTAGGCACCGAGTGAATTAATATCCCACAGGGCAACACAATCACAGATCATATTTCCTGTTAAGTGTAATCATTCTCCTCTCTCCACACACACAAACTCTGTAAGCTGGCCCATAGCTTCCCAGTTTGTTATTAAAAAAGAGTGTGGGCTAGGTCTGCTAAATAATGCATCATCACTACAATGAAAAAACATGGTGTCTTTTGCCTTATTATTTCTGTATTAAATATTGTTCGCAATAAAAAAGAGTTCCTAGTTTTCGAATCAAAACCCTTCACATGAACCTTGAGTGACTAGGTTAGAGATTCAGGAAGCAGACAGATGGAGACTGGTACCTTACTGTTTTCTCTTTCTCCTTCATCCTGAGATTGCAGCCCACATTAGCTAAACATGGGTTTTTACCTCTGTTAAGCCTCCCTAGAAATACCCTCACAGATATATCCAGAAGGTTGTCTCCTAGGTAATTAAAAAAGTTTTCAAGCTGACAATCTTTTAACATACATTTCCAGAACCTGAGTTTTCTCCAATGTGGTGTTCCTGAAACCTTGTATAGGTTTTTAGCCACTTTGCAAAGAGGATATAGAGATTCTATCTATATAGAATATATAGATATAAATATTGTGGAAAAGTACACAGTTATGTAGATGTTAAAAATGTAGTCCAAAACACTAATAATGATGTGATCCATAGCTCTCAGAGAGGCAAAAGGGAGATCGATTACAAAAGTAGATATAATCCCAGCACTCCAGAGGCAGAGGCAGGTGCATTTTGAGCTGAAGTTCATCTTGGCCTGAGCTCCAGGCCAGCCAGGGCTACATAGTGAGACCTTGTCTTTTAAAATAAATGTATTAATCCAAAAGAACACAGAACAGGATGGTAGAAATAATTTTGACTAATTCACCATAAATACAGAGAGATTTAATCTCCTACTAAAGGCCTGCTATAATAGTACATGTCTTTAATCCCAGCACTCAGGAATCAGAGGCAAGTGGACCCCTGTGAGTTCAAGGCTAGCATGGTCTACTTATCAAGTTTCAGCCCAGCAAGAGCTAATTAAAAAAGATCCCATCTCAAAAACAAAAACAAAAACAACCCTCAAAACAATACAAAACAAACCAAGCAGAAACAAACCAATAACAAACAGACTACCCAGTTGAATGGAAAGATAGAGACTAGCAAGATGAGTGGAAAAAGGAAGTCCTACTATAAACATCTGAAAGAAAAAAAACACTAAACCAAAAGAAGAAAATAGGATGTAAGAATAAGAGACTATGAGGGAAGTATTAATAATGACAAAAGAGTGACTTGAATTGTCCTTTTGTGAACTAATAAAGATTTTAAAAGAGAACCTAAAAATAAAAATGGTAATTCTGGAAGATGTTGATAAATTTAATAAAAACTGATATAAGTCCTTGGAAAATGTTTAGTATGACTGCCAGTGATCTTAGGAAGATAACAAGTGTGATGTACTAACTTAACATCTTGAACCCCAAAAATGGAAACCATATGTTATTTCCAGCACATATGATTCAGTTTTCTTTTTGTTTTTGTTTTTTTATAATGACTACATGCTGTGTGTCACAGGAAAAGTCAAGACAGTTCCAGGATTTAATATTGTCTTTGTCCATGTAACATTCAAATAAATAATAAATAAAAAGTGTTAAAATAATACAACATTTAACTGGAAAGATATAAAGAATGCTATAAATATAACTTACCAGCTAAAAAACAAATTGCAATGTCATGGAATATTTTAAAACAAAACACTGCTTAGGAAATAAGGGCAAAATGGTACGGTACGTACAGGATTGTATGCCCTTTGATGTAATTACAAGGGAAAATTACTGTAGCAAGGGAGAGTACTGCAGTCCTGTTGTCTCAGCAATCTGGAAGGCAGAGGCAGGAAGATCAGGAGTTTAAGGATAGTCCTGCTACATAACAAATTTGAAGCCAACCTGAGCTGTAGGGAGACCTTATCTCAAATAAAACAAAGATGGGTAGGGAGAGGTTTAAAAGCAACAAGCTAAATGCTGGTGCTATCTAGCTAGTAAAAGAATTACAGAGTAACAACGCTAAACAAAATACAGGAAGAATTCAGTTCACCAACTACATTTTAATGCTTAAATATTTCCTTTGTAGGAAAAGTACTAAACAAATAATGAATTAATTAAACAATAGCAATGTAACACACCCTCAATAAATAAGTTGTAATAAAAATGAGAAGTGGAGTATAAATACAGCCAGATCATGATTTGAGAGGAAAATGAACAAGTTTATTCCCTAAATAATCATAAATACTTAAACAATTTTTTAGAAAAAAATACAGTAAAAGTGCTTTAAGAAGAAATAAAACCATGAAATCTTTCCTTTCTCTCCCCTTTCATCTTATCATAGAGAACACTGCCCCCCAAGAAAGCTAGATCCATATGGTTAAAGGAAGTATTACCAAGCACTTCCAACTCATGTGGTGTCCTGGCAGTTCTGTGTGTCAACTTGACACAAGCTAGAGTCAACAGAGGAAGGAGCCTCATTTGAGAATGCCTCCATGAGATTCCATTAAGGCATTTTCTCATTTAGTGATCTATTGGGGAGGGCCCAGCCCATGGTGGGTGGTGCCATCCCTGAGCTATTGATCCTGGTTTCTACAAGAACCATGGGAAGCAACCCAGTAAACAGCTTCCTTCTATGGCCTCTTTATTGGCTCTCACCTTGGGATCCTCCTGTTTGAGTTTCTGTCCTGACTTCCTCCAGGGGTAAACAGCAACGCTGAAGTGTAAGCCAAATAAACCCTTTACTCCCCAACTTGCTTTTTGGTCATGCTCTAACAAAGACATGTGACTACCTGACTCACTACCTCCAAACCTCCCATATTCAACTATCTTGAGTATCCCTTTAAAAAAAAATCAGCCGGGCGTTGGTGGCACACGCCAGAGAGAGTGCCAGGATAGGCTCCAAAGCTACACAGAGAAACCCTGTCTTGAAACCCCCCCAAAAAAATAAAAATAATAAAAAAATAATTAGGTAGGTGAGCAGTAAAGGGTAGTTACCAATAAACAATAGATATCATAATTAATGGGAAAATGTAGAAGGACATCCAGGATACTGGCAAGACCAGGGGACCTCCTAGCCGCCAGTTATACTCTGCATTGTATTTGGGGGAGTAGTTAGCTTTATTTTGGGGGGGGGGTTCGAGACAGGGTTTCTCAATGGCTTTGGAGGCTGTCCTGGAACTAGCTCTTGTAGACCAGGCTGGTCTCGAACTCACAGAGATCCACCTGCCTCTGCCTCCCGAGTGCTGGGATTAAAGGCGTGTGCCACCAACAACCAGATCCAGTTTTAATTATCAAAAGCTAGCCTCAACTGGGAAGGGAGTCTCAGCAAGCAGCAGTCTAAATTAGGCTGGTTGAGTTAGGAAGGCCCATCCTGAATATGGGTATGGCCATATTCATTGGCATGCATATATTCATTCATTCATTCATTCATTCATTCATTCATTCATTCATCACCCTCCATTCTTTACCATGGTTATCATGTTACTAGCTGCTAAAGTTCCTGGTGCCTTGACATCCCAGCAATAATGGACTGGAACTGGAGCTGTGAGCCAGGTAAACTCTTTCTCCGCTAAATTGCTTCTGTCGTGATATTTTATCACACCAACAGAACACAAAGGCAGGCTGAGTGATGGTGGTTTAGATCAGTGGTTCTCACCCTTCCTAATGCTGCGACCCTTTTAATATAGTTCCTCATAAGCCGGGCTATGGTGGCACATGCCTTTAATCCCAGCACTCAGGAGGCAGAGGCATGCCGATCTCCGTGAGTTTGAGACCAGCCTGGTCTACTAGTTCCAGGACAGCCTCCAAAATAATACAGAGAAACCCTGTCTCGAAAAACAAACAAACAAACAACAACAAAAACAAAACAACAAAAACTATAGTTCCTCCTTTTGTGGTTGACCCCCAACCATATGATTATTTCGTTGCTACTTCACAACTGTAATTTTGCTACTGTTATGAAACTGTAATGCAAACATCTGATATGTGACCCCTGTTGAAAGAGCCTTTGGACCCTTGAAGGGCCAGGACTCACCGGGTTGAGAAAGGCTTGTTTAGCTACTTAGAATAGTATGCAACTGTTAAAAAACAAAACAGGATTAAGAGTAGGGGCACGAGGGGACTAACACTGGTGATCTGTCCCCACACCTCTCCAGCCAAACTCTATTGACAGACCTTGGCAACCGTGACCCCTGCCCTGTCTCTTGTCGGTGGGCCTTGGGGGCACTTCTCTAACGTCCTATATCTGACCTTGTACCTAAAACAGATGAACGGAGGAGGGGAGAGATGCCTCCCTGCCCTCTCCTCCGAAGGTGGTAGAACTCCGAGCGCCCCTGGGTTCCTCTGCTTGGGGCAAAGGGGTGAACCCCGCGGGACGTGGCGTGGAGCTCCCGGCCCCTCCCGTGAATCCCGGTGGC